CTATGTGAAATTCAATGGAAAACGTCAGCTCAACTCATATCATTGTGGGAAAATTCTCCTACCAGTCCTTCATTACCTTACACGAAATAGGGTGAATACATCTCATTTAGTACGAAAGTTAAAGAAGATACAGGCTAAGTCTTTCTAGAGTATTCCTCATTTGTGTGCCATCAGAAATCTATTATTTAATTGTTTAAGTGGGGTATTTTCACTTAAGGCCAAAGTCGGGGTAAAGCGATTGTATGATCACAATAATAATGGTAGTACTCTATAATGTTCTAAGGAGGAACAATTGTGAGAGAAAAATGTGAATAGAAAAATAATTCGTGGAAGTTATGACATAGATAGAATGCATACACTCGACAGCAGATAATAGACATTAATTAGCAGCGGCTGATGGCAAATTTTTCAAGAACCTTAATGTAGTGCACAGAAAACTGACATACAACACACCTGGAAATTATCTCATGGGTCTCTAAGAGAGATAGAGCAGTTTAGAATCGCTAGTAAATGGCTTGATTGAGTAAAGTCTTATTTGAACTCGCAGTTTGAAAGGTCAGCATACCATTGAGGAACCTTACAATGCTTTGCGTCTTGGTTCAACTAAATCTAACCAGTCACAAGTAAAATAAACTAAAAAATTCGTATGAAATCAGAATCAAGTATCATAAGAGCGTTATGAATTGTATGGTAATAAAAGTAAATCACTAAAGAAAAATGCTGCCCTATAAAACAATCAAATAAGCCCTAGAGCAGATCCAGTCAACTAACCTGAGGTAAGATTAGGAGGGCAGGGTAACTTTCTACCAGTTCATACTTCCAATTGATCGTAGCTAAAAAAACACCTGAAGGGATTAAGAGATCAGAGGCGCATGTGTCGCTGACTCGAAGACCAGCCCGCATATCCGGCAAGTTTTCTAAATTCCTACTTGAATTGACTTCACTGTCTGTAGAGACAGGTTGCTGGTATTTCTGAGGAAGATGGGCTGATTGAGGGTAGCGATAGCCTCTGCCTTGCCAACGTGATTCACGGAGTGAGGCCATGTTGGGCCGCGAGACGGCAAGGCGAGCCATATCGAGATAGCCAGGTGATCGCTGAAACCAGTCAGTAGAAAGACGTGGATCGACCGAATGAGCAGGTAGTTCGGCAAGCGTTGACGCCAGGAGTGTAGATGCGTCCGGGCAACTAAACAAGTGATTGACTACATGGGTTTGAGGGTCATTCACATTTTGTAGTGTGCAAAAATTGAGAAAGGAATAGGAAAAAAAGGAATCATAAGAATAAGAGAAAAAAGAAATCTACCCTTTATATAAGGACTAAATCCTTATTGAATTGGCAATGTATATGGCCGAATATACTAGCTACAGTTGCTTGAATTGAATACAAACGATCATCCCCATTTTCATTATGTCTAGAGCTGCCCACATTTTGCAGGTCTACAAGGTTATCCAGCAACATCCTCAATAAAAGAGAGACTAGCTGATATTCCTGAAAGATGCTGAACTAATATAGATTAAGTGTAGCATTTAATGGTATTTACTAGACTGTCTTGACACTTAGACTTATTAAAATTAGAAATTACTAAAGGAGTGCTTTATCTTGAAAGTCACGAGTCTCGCCACTCCCCAAAGTTGGATTCTGTGGGTGAGGTGTAATACAGGAGCAGGTTCAGAAGCCCGTGTGGAAAGCTGAGAACCAACGAATGAAAAGCAAACGAATAAATGACAAAATAGTGCTAAGAATAGTATCAATACCATCTTCCATCATAAGTCTTAGCATCGGGCTGGAACGATCTGACTCGGAATCTGTCAGGTTAAAGGACCGGCGTACACCGACTCCCATCGTACCACTCGAGACTACAAGATATGCTCCAGTTGTAGGTGGTTGATTTGAAAGGCCCTGTAGTGACGAACGCAGAAGCTGGCTAGCTTCATTTGCGGGAGGAACCATAGATGACGTGACCCCTGGTGTCGTAGTGGAGGCAGTCAGACTGCTACCAAGACCGCTGGTCATTGTGGTGCCAGTGCTGCTAGCAGAACTGATTCGACCAACACCAGTTATCGACGTCGCAGTTGTCGCCGCCCCAGATGACGAAGAGGCTCGTGAAGCAGGGCTGGCGCTATCGCTGTTAATTCCATTCACTGCGAACGTAGTCACCGGCCGAGAGGGTTGTGGCTGTTGAGATCCGATGCGCTGAATTGTTGATTTCCATGCCTCTTTAGCAGCTCGTCTATGAGAATAAAATAAAATAACATCGAAGTGTAAGTGCAAGCTTAGTGAAATTGGGTTATAGATAAATCGTTAGTTTGATTACTCTCATTACTTGGGAAAGAGCTAGATGAAGAAATTTGCAAATAAGTCCCTAGAAACGGAAGCGGATTCTCGCTGCCCTGCAATCATTTAATTTTATCATCAGATTCCGGTTTATCCAAGTTAAGGAATATCCTTCCTCGGATCGGATAAAAATAAGCAGGAGTTTTGTCTGCCATATGACAGTTGAATCCCAGTTTTAAAATAACTTGTCTCAATGTTAGAATGGAGTTCTGCATTTAATATGGGTTGGTATGTACTATTGTCATAGACCAGCTCATCACCCCTCAAACAATTAACTAAAGACTAATTGAAAATGTAACCAGGCTACATTTAATAATAAAGCGAATATGAAGCAGACAGAGATTTGGAAATCGGGATTCCTAATGGTTAAGTATTCAGACGTTTATGATCCTCAATAGGTGTATCTTTCGAGGGACCCAACTCGGTGACTTTTTGAAGATGATTCTAGGTTTGTTCCCTCTCACAGAAAACTCTTTCCCATGAGTTCCATTCGTCCATAAAAATTATTTCTGGAGATGCCTCTTCCTATTTTACCAGTAATTTCCTTCATTAGGGCGTCTCCTTATTTCTGTTCCTCCGATTTCTTATACCTTGCCCTCATGAAGCTAGTCATTCCGTTGCCTCCCGGTAGGTGCTGTGGCTGATCAGAGCAATGCTTTCTGATCTTTCCCACCCATAGTTCAGCATAATCAATATTGATCTTTAATTCCTAAGTTGATTGTTTTCCCCATTTTTGTAAAGAAAGTTAGCTTGCGCTCGTTATAGTTGATAAAGTAAACACGATGCAATCTATTTTGTTGGCCTTTCATATTGTGTGGGCAAGTTAGCAAAGAGATTTGCCCTTCTTCAGAAATGAACTAGTATTCCATTTTATTAGCATCGGCAGCAACTCCCAGGTCAATCCACAGGAACATTAATTTCCCTAACTCTTATCTCATAACTACCATCGTGCCAATTAATCGTCACGACCAGTGTGCGTTTTTAAGGTTCCATCGAGCCTCCGTTTCCAAAAAAACAAATAAACCAGAATTCCATATATATTTATTAAGCTTTGGCTGCTTATGATCACGTTTTTATTTATTCCGATCTTCAGTCTGTGGTAATGAAGAGATTAGAAATTAAGGATTATTCTAGAGTAGAATTTTTTCCGAATATAAAAGAAAAGATGTTTTGAAGAATCCCTTGATAGATTGATCATGGCAAACCTTCCATTGCGACTGAAGATGTGAGTGAAAAGGATTTGTAAAGTGATCCTAGCGGAAGCCTGAGGATTGCTTTGGAGGTGTCCCAGAATATTTGTTACAATAAATCCTTGGCGTACGGTCCCCAAACCAAGATGAATCACTAATAAAATTTCATCTGTCATATGACAGACATCGTCAAAGGAGGAAAACACGCTTAACGTTCATCCACTAGACACGAAAACAAGATAGATCACCGAATACAATTCTACCTACTACTTATAGTCCAATTTTGTCTACTTTATGAGACATATCATTATTTTATCATCTATTCTATGACTTGTCTACATGTTTGCAGAAAAAAGAAATGTATTTGGATGTAGACGAACAGGGAAGTAGCTTTAATTGCGACAAAAAAGCGACATTTTTTCTTAAATCACTTGTATTTTCGATCCTGCAATGTTGACGCAAGAAATTGAGCTCCATTAGACGCATGCTGTGTGCATACAATGCTTGCAAGTAGTGTGAGGTGTAATAAAAATCCCATATTTAGTCTAATCAAGCCTCCTTCTCTTAGTCTCTTCTACTATCCTATCCAAAACCACAAGTATATTCCGCTAAATTGTCAAAATTCTTTCCTTAAGGCGTTGGCTGTTTTTTATATTTCTATAGGCTCCATAATCTTTATCTTACTGGTGAAATCAACATACCCTGCTAAGTGATTGGCTTTAGAAGAGACTATTCGGTATCCTGTGTGAGTCTTCTGTTCTGCCAGTCTTAATTCTAAGATATCAAAACGTTTACAGGCTGTTGGCCCAACCTCTTATATATGTGTCGATAGGACCCCGTCCCCATATTCGCAAATGCATGAACGCAAAACTGTATAGCAGACCAGCATGAAGTGAGGAGTTGAATATTCCCCAAAGGATGACATTACCAAGTGACCGTCTTTTAAGGCCATATGAAAGCCAGCATCAAAGCTGGCTCTTACTATCAATATAATTAAAAAAATATCTTGATTTAATGTTTTCTCATGATCCATATCATTCATATGAGAAACGGAAAATGAGAGTGGTTTCATTGGAAAAAAAAAGATTTGTCGGCGAGTAGATTAACTTAAGCACCGTAACTAAATCCTAAGTGCAGATAAATGTGAATCCGCCACCGACTCCTGATAAGATAGATATAAAATCTTCCTATCATGCGTCGCCGAAATGGTCAGAAACATTCTAAGTATAATGGCAAAATATGGCGGTAAAAATGGTAGACAATGAAGATTAAGAGAATTAAAAATAAAGGTTGAAATCTGACTTAATTATCTTAAGCAATAGATAATCATGCCTACGTAAGTAAAGGAGTGGCTCATAAAACGACTCCATGAAAAGAGAGATTTAGCGTTAAGTGGCCTTAAATTCGAAGTCGTTACGCTTTAATTAAGACTCGATAGCAATTTATACTATAGAGAGAAATGTATAGAGGAAATCCACAAATGCGGGTTTCCTACAAATTTCGTCTCGAATCATACTTATGGTGTTAAGGTAGGAGTAATGAAATCAAAGAGAATAAGGAGTTTACGATTAGCGAAGGTAAACCATTAGGGATAAGAGTTGGAAAGGCTGAGAAAAATCTTAGTTAAGAACAATCATCCGTTAGAATCAATTGTTAACAATTGGAAAATTCTAAGAAATAGGATAAAAGGAAACTATTATTTAAGATAAAACAAGGAATTATACAACTCTTCGTCCAGATTCCTTATGCTAACATCCTGTAAGACTTAAAGAAGGATAGGCGAATTACTGAGGAAATGGAGTGTGATGATTGTATAAAGAAACAATAACGCTTTCCTCGATCATGCCTTCTTGTAGGGAATATTCAGGCACCCTCTGCAGATCAGGTTGCCTTTGTGATAATGGAGAGAATTGTCGGGCTATCCAAACACAGAACCGCCTGCAAAGATTTATGGATTGATAAATCTGAGGTGGCTGAACATGTGGTCACTAGAGAACACCAGATAGTCGTCGAAATCGCAAAATTTTGACGGATATGGGGATTCCACAACAAAACGGAAATTCAGGGAATCGATAGAAATTAACAAAACAAAGGGCATCCTGAATACGAGGAACGAATGTAAGAAACTAAGTAAGAAATATCTCTAGCTTTTAATTAGAATTTGAGAGAGAGAAAAGAAAAGGGAACAGGAAGATCCATTGATTAAGGGAAGGAAAGATCAACCTGGAGTCTGTCTTTAGACCTAAAATTGTCAGGCAACTCGTGATTGTTCCATACACACACGAACACGCATCCAAAAGACTCTAACAAGACCCAGGATTATGGGATCATACTCTAGTTTATTTACATAGACAAAAGTGTAACCACATCCGCTCCCCGTCTAGCAGCACTATGACCTGGTTACATGCATTTAAAACAAGCATAAAACAGCCAACCAAATCATGGAATGTCTCATTAAGATCGGAAAGGTATAAGAAGTAAGTATTATCTCAGCTACCACCTTATTGGTGAATGTTCGTGAGTAATGTTTTCTGGCTCTGTCGATGCGCGTTACGCGATGGACGAATGCTCAACACGGAGTCATCGGGCTCGTAGGACTATGAGCCGAGGTCTTCTCCGCACAACCCTCCTTCGGCATCCGATGAGGTCAATCGACGAATCCCTTTCACCCACCTTCTCAAAACGAAATGTAAGGTAGGTCAGTATTAATCTAATAAGGGATTCATCGAAACCCAGCTTCCCTTCATATGACATAGTAATTTGCTAGAATGAACAAGTAATGGTCTTAAGTGGAGGCAAAGAAAAACATAGTTGATAAATAGCTAGAATTAACAAGATCGAATTTAAACAAGATAATTCTTTTCACTGTATTGAAGTAAAGCAAACGCTTTAAGTAATGATTCAGATGATAATGAAAGAGGATCTATTCACAAATAGTTTAGGAATCTCCCATTAATTTGGATCCTAATTTTAATGTAAGGAAATAAATCTTTACATATAAACGCTTAAATAAGAAAGGCAGAATACAAGCAACTGCATGTATTGCAATTCAAAACAGTACTTATGAAATAGAAAGCCATAGAAAAAATGTAGAGCTATTGCAGCAGTGCGTTTAAAAAAATTAACAAATATGAAAATTAAAAAAAAGGATAAATAAACATGCGGATCAGACTGGCCTAATTAAAAATGGGTTATTCTAACTAGAATATCAAGGGAAAAGGGCCATTTAAAGCCCCAACAGCTAATAATTGAACCTAGAGAGCAAAAATGGAGAAATTTCGAGTCTCCATTTCGGGCACTTTTTAGAAAAAAAGGTAGTCGCCTATATGATATTCGCTCGTAGGTTATTAATTAGCTCGGCTCCTTGAAATCCTCGTTAAAAATGGGTTTGTGCCAACTAGCGAAGCAAATAAATGAAAATAGGATTCGAAATAAAAGTGATCGAGATTATTGAAGAAGGGGCGCATACTGCATTCAAATACAAATAAGATTCACTAAGTAAAAATTATTTGTTTTTTAAATAAAGAAAGAGCTCTTAGTAGTTGTTTGACCTGGTTTTCGTAACTTGGTCGTATTGTCAGGGAGACTTAGAGGAACTCACCTTGCCCGAAGTCCATAGTATGCTTGATCAATTTCCAGGAGTTTCGGCGGCATCGACACTGAGCCTTGCCATTCATAGCACCACAATATAAGTCAACAGTCCGAATATGGAAATTATCATGCATACTATGGACTCAGGGCAAGGTGTGGTCAAATTGCGTAAAAAAGATAAAAAAACTAATATACAACGAAAGAAGACTGTGGCCATACAGAAGGACACACCATCTTGGTTCACATACCTTTAAAGGGCTCTTAATTTAAACAAACAAATGCTAATTAAATGTGAAAGTGCGATTTTGTTAAATCAATAACTAGAAAAATAAAAGCGTCGGATATAGGAGGAAAGGTGAAAGAACGCCACAATAAATATTATGAACGAAAAGTAAGATAAGGTTAAGGGAATATGAAGTTAATAAATTGTGAAATAGGATAGCCATGACTAATATTTATGGGAAAAGATATTTTACAATAAAAATCATATATTTTGAAGCCGAAAAATAGCGCAAATAATAACATAAAAACAAAGTATTCACGAATATAATGTAAAATTCCTGGAAAAGCATAG